AATTACAGTTTGATTATGAACAGTATTTAATTTTTTGGCTGCATTTGTAGCATTCTCATCACTTAAAAATAAAAAGTATAAAACATGTCTCTTATATTCATCTGTTACTTCCATTTTAACGAAAATAAACAACTGAAATGTTCCCAATTCTGAACAGTATTATATGAATGAGATCCAATTTAACACTTCAGTGTAAAAAGTATCACATTAGACTGGCATTTTTAACAGCAAAACAAGGTCATAAAATACGCACGAACTTATGGACTGACCTAATATATAGTTTACAGTATTTCTCCCTTAGGAACCTCAATCATCCCTCTGAAAAATATTCATGATCCTTTGCATTCAGTATACAAGCAGCAATGAATGAAGCCATTAAAAAATTTTCAGGTGGTGCTATTCCAGTAGGACCGATCCTTTTATATTCATAGGTTCTGGCAGTGCTCTATATATTTCCTACACTGCTTGAAGAAGTCTCATCTGCCCATATATACAAGATCAAATTATTTAAGACTACATTATGCTTGTACAGTACATTTGTACAAATAAATGAGCATAAAGGTGATATCAGAAATCAAAAGTTCTTTACACCAGGGGTCATCAAACTTTTTTCACAGAAGGCCAGATAACCAAGAGAATGACAAGCATGGGCCGCATAACCATTTTGTTCAATACAGTATAGTGAATACACAAAAAATAAAGACAACTAATATATTTATTTACCAATACACAAACACAATTGCTGCAGCAAACTCATAATTGCTTTTCTTAGAAACTTCATTGCAGGTACTTACACAAAAAGTGCTCTGATATCCAAAGTCACCAAATGTTTTATTTCACTAATTTTCCTAAAAATTACATTACTGTCAGATGCAAAAATGAGATTGGACCAATTTTGGCATTTTTACTTAGACTTATTTTAATTTTTTCTGCATAGTAACTTCATCTTACAATCTATGATATTTCCATTTAAATAATTAAATTTTAGCTCATTTGTGGCACAGTGACGGTGGGCCAGATGAACTGATCTCACGGGCCGGATCTGGCCCATGGGCTGTAGTTTGGTGACCCCTGTTCTACACTATAATAATATTTAATCCTAAGAGTTTTGAAACAATCTGGGATTTGTTAGAATTATAATACAAATTGGCATTGTATATACTTCTATAATTATGTACACCTTTACATAACCTTTCAAATAATTTTGTTGTCATTCTAAATAATTTTTCTGTTCCATTTTTTATCAATTCTATCAGTATTCCTCCAGGACTGCTTGCTTTATTATTCTTCAGTTTCTTACATGTTTGTTTAATCTGTTTTGTCTCTAAATGAATTGATATATCTTTTTCTCTGTTTATATCTTGTCATAAATTGAATTCTATATTCTGTTAATAAATTTTTATAATATTCTTCCCATTGTTTAACTGAGATAAACTGTCCTTTATTACTATTACAGTAGAGCATCGATTATACGAATCAATTGGGGACTGGGGTTGTTCGAAAAATCAATTTTTCGGATAACCGATTATGTACGAAAAAATATACTAACCTATCCCATGTTGAAATTCGTTCAAATCCTGGCACATCCTTAAGTACCCTCTCATGGTCATGCCAGTGCTGCCAGCTAAAACACGCATACCAACGAAAATAATATTGGAGCAGCCCAAGATTGAAGTGCCACAGCACTAGCAGAAATCTAAATTTGCCAACTGAAAAGCTTTTGGTTAATTGACGTTTCAGTTGATAGACATTCAGATAACACAAGCCTACAAAAAAAAATTTTTTTTTTGGTGCCTAGGATTTTAGAACTGATTTTAGCTATATTTGGGTTGCTGAATCCAAAGATGAAATCAGTTTTTCTCTATCAGCTCTACTTTTTTAGATCTGTGTTTTTTTAATGTACAGTGCTACATGAAATGTGCAGCTCTAATTCCAGTTTGTACAGTTCTAAATCACATATTCAAGAATTGATTCCTGTATATTTTTCCCTTTGTTAGTCTGCCGTCCAGTTAATTCCAGGTAAATCCACCAAATGAAGTANGTAACACATTATCATTATGATTAATTTGTTTTTTAAATTTTGCTGGATAGTTAGCTGTTTCATATTAATTAAAATAGCATTCATATACAATTATCATCAGGCTAAAAGACCTTTGCAATTTGACTGGTGCAGAAACTTGAAGGTCTTTTGGCCTGATGATGACTATTCAACACGGGTGAAAATATTTGCTTTTGCAGATTTTTGTAGTTTCTTGCAAATGATTGATTTTATGTGTAGTGCTTAATTATTATTATATTTAGAATTTACAGTATTTCAAATGCTAATTGACAGATATATTAGAAAATCTGGTCAGGGTCCAGTCCCAATTAGTCCAGATTTTTGATACTTAACTGTATTTCAATCTATAAAAATATATTTCTTTCAATACTTTTAAAGTTAATTTTTAATTTTACTTTTACATACCATTAAATCATCACATTTTCTTTCATTTTCATTACTATCTGGTAATCGAGAACTGGCATCTGAGATAGTATCTCTTTCCAAATTATTTTTTATTAAAGATAAAACTTTATCTTTACACTTTTCATATACTGTGGTTCCTAATAGTTCACACAAACCTCCTAATACTTCACCTAAAATAAATAAAATTTTATTAATTATTTTATGTTAATTAAAATTGTTTATTATTTAAAAATAAACATAACATAAAAATCAATTGCAAACTAAAAATTAAACCCTTCATTCATGGATGGATGTGACATTGATAAACAGCAAGAATGAAAGTGCTTGCAAGTGATATGTTCAAAAACTAAGATAACCTTATAATCTAAAAGGTGGGTATAAAGTAACTTGGCATTGAGAAATCACTATAATTTTTGTTATAATATTGCAATCATAATAAAATTTGTGTGTGCATATACATCAATCAATGAAATTTTATAATTCCAACATTTACATGTGCACATTAAAGTGTGGAAATCAGTGGATGCTGTGGGGAGGTGGCGGCATATAGTGAAGGAATGTCATGCCACAATCTGTCTGAAATAATCAAGAATTGTCACTTTAAGCTAAATGATGAAAGGTTTGGTTGTGGATGGACAGAAAAGTGATCATCCATCCACAACACAAAGAAAACTTGTTGATGCATAGTGCCAGTGCCTACACTGAATTTTAAGGTATGAATTCATATTTCCATATAATAATGTAAAAGTCAAATAATTTATCATCTTTGCATTAGAAGTATAGAAATTATAGCAATTTCTCAATGCCTAATTACTTTCCACCCACTATGTAAAATGCACAAATAATGATGCTTTCTTTGTAAAGAAACTAGAATCAAATCCTGCTCTGAGTAGATTTTTTTTAATTTTAAAATTATTAATTAGAAATTAACTCTGATTATTTAATTCATTTGAGAGGTTATCATTGTCTATTTAAAATTACATTATGAATTAAATTCTAATATAAAATCATTAAAAAATATAGCAGTATAAACTATCAATTATTATAGTAATATAATAGCCAGCATTATAAAACAAAACCCAATGACTTATTAGCTAAATTTCCATAAAATTCAAATAATTTTTTTTAACAACTGAAGCAACTTAGTCTCATCTAAAGAATAAACCTAGTTTACATTTTGTGATAAAAACAGGAATCTTATATTTTAATATCACTATCACTCAAAACTAGGTATACTTGAATTAAAAACTATAAAAACCTATAATCCAGCAATTTTTATAATTATTTTGTCTCATATTTCTTTGTTAGGAAGTTGTGAATGTGACCTTTGTCCTTTTCATCGTCGAGCCCTCTCCTCTGCTATGCAAGGGGTGAGTTGAGCTATGTAAACCCTGTCAAGGGAAGTGGTACTTGGGGTTTCGACTTTAGTTGGTCTTGAACGCGTGTTGTGCTCTAACGGATATTCCTTTTTAGTTCTCTTATTCTTTGTGTTACCTTCGACACTACCCTTCATTATATCCATATTCTGACATAGTAGCAGAGCGTGGTTAGGTTTAAGGGTTTAATGATCGAGGTTTACCATATGAAAAGGATCTAATTGGAGATTCAAGTATGTGCTATATACTTGTTTGCTTACGAAAGGCATAACCCATATGAACAACGAACAACGCCATGAATAGTGTGGGGATGCAGCATGTAGATAAACTCGATGATGGCAACTACGAATCGTGGAAGTTACAAATGCATAGCATACTGGTTTGCAATGAACTTTGGTCGTATGTAAATGGATCCATAAAAAAACCAGACACCGATCCTGGACGACTAGATTGGCAGACAAAAGATGAAAAAGCTTTAGCGTTAATTTTACTAGGCATTAAGCAGAACCAGTTGAGCCACATAAAGAGGCAGAAACTTCCAAAAAAGCATGGGATGAATTGGAAAGGATACATAAATCGAAAGGTCCAATTAAAAAGGCAGTACTATACAGACAACTTTATCAGATGAAAAAGGGAACTGAAAAATCAATGTCGAGACATGTAAGTGAATTTATGGAAAAGGCTGAACAATTAGAAGAAGCGGGTATACCAGTTCCAAGTGAGTTACTATCTATAGTGTTACTAAATTCATTGCCCGATGAATACGAGACATTTAGAATTGCCATTGAGTCCCAAGACGACATACCGAAGCCTGAATCTTTAAAAATAAAATTAATTGAAGAAGAAACAAGACGACAAGAGAAGGAAGAGTTTTTAGTCGAACGAAGTGCACTGTACATGGGACCAAAACAAAAGAAAAGTTCTTTCCGACAAAACTACCCAAAAGGAAATAATCGTTCTTCTTCACAATTCACAGGAACGTGTTACATATGCGCTAAACCTGGCCACCGTGCAGCTGAGTGTAGAAGTAATAACAGATATTCGCAAAGGAACAATACATGCAAAAAGAGTGACGCTATGGCAGTCACAGTACAAACAGCTCAACCTCTAAACTCAACAGACTGGTGTCTTGATAGTGGAGCAACCGCACATATGTGTAGCGACTGTACAAAATTTACAGAGATAAATCAAGATCTCCACAAAGAAATACAAACTGCAGGGAAACATGCATTAAGATCTGTTGGAACTGGAACAATTAATATAAGTGTGCGTGTCAACAACACCAAAAATACAATTAAGCTACAAGACGTGATAGCCGTTCCAGATTTGAGAAACAACTTGATATCTGTACCCAAAATAACAGAACATGGATATTCTGTCACATTCAAAAGAGAATCTGCAACTGTTACTCGCCAAGATGGTTCCATCGCCTTGATAGCAAAGAAAATAGATCAGCTATACGTACTAGAAACTAGATCTGATGCGGTATTGAATGCAGAAGAAAGTGATAATCTTTTGAGATGGCATCAACGACTTGGTCATCTAAACATCAACGATCTAAAGAAACTAGCAAGCAAAAAAATGGTAGATGGAATAACATTGAAACAAACCCAAGACAGAATTGATTGTGAAATATGCTACAAAGGAAAGATTCATCAATTATCCTTTAAGTCGTCCAACACGATAGAGAAAAGTATACTGGGATTAGTCCATTCTGACATATGTGGTCCAATGAGTGTGGAATCCCTAGGCGGTTCTAAGTATTTTGTGACATTCATTGACGACAAAACACGCTATGTCGAAGTAGCAATGCTCAGACACCAATCTGAAGTACTCAATGCATTTAAACAATACAAGGAAAGCGTCAAAAACGAAACTGGTCAAAGAATCAAAAGGATTCGTACCGACAACGCAAAAGAATACTTATCAAAAGAATTTACTAATTATCTTGAAGAAAAAGGAATAAAGAGGCAGTTGACAGTCGAGCATACTCCTCAACAAAACGGAATAGCTGAACAAGCAAACAGAACTCTCACTGAGATGGCGAGATGCATGATGATTCAATCCAATGTACCTCAGAGTCTATGGGCAGAGGCTATCAACGCAGCAACCTACATAAGAAATTGTTGCCCCACCAAAGCCTTAGAAGAAGAAACTCCATTCGAACTGTGGACTGGAAATAAACCTTACGTTGGATTTATAAGAATTTTTGGTAGCAAAGCAATTACTCTGAAAAAGGGACAGAAGAGAAACAAATTTTAACCAAAGGGAAAGGAATACATTCTAGTTGGCTACTCACAAGAATCAAAGGCATACCGACTGTGGGAGCAAGGAACTAAAACTGTCATAAAGGCTCGAGATGTGTGTTTCGTTGAAAAATTAGAAACTGAAAACAAACAAGACTTGTTTAGTGCACCTTTAGATTTAACACCAACCATAAAAAACATTGAAGTTGATGAGAGTAACACTCCTTCCACTGATACGCAGAACGAAAATATTCCTTCACATGACGATGAAATATTAGATCTGCAACCAAAACGCAAAGCAGGACGACCACGATTAATTAAAACTGGAAAACCTGGAAGACCAAAGAAGGTGTATAATGAAGTAGTGGATATCGCAAAATGTGACAAGTTGCCAGATCCTACAAGTGTAACAGAAGCATTAAGCCGAGAAGATAGAGAGGAATGGTTAAATGCCATAAATTCAGAGTATAAGTCCTTAATGGAAAATAATACATGGGAATTAGTCCCATGCCCAAAGGACAGAAAAATAATTTCAAATAAATGGGTGTACAAAGTAAAAAGAAGACAGGATGGCACCGTTGATTGCTATAAAGCTAGGTTAGTTGCATATAGATATGAACAGAGAGAAGGGATTGATTTTGAAGAAGTATTCAATGGGCATCATCAGGTAAACAACTGAGATAAATGAGAAACTGCCAAACGTGTGTAGGGGAGGTGATATATGACATAAGATAAGAGAACGGGGCAGGGAGGACAGTGAGAACTTATATTTCATAGAAAGACTTCCATGCCACTGAGAAGGAGTCAACATCACAAAAGTTAATGACTATGTTATTGTGAGTGGCCTTATATATTTCCACTTGCTTCATAACCTCTCTAGCTTGTGTGTTAGATGAATGGAAGAATGCCCTTTGAACCAAGGCTCTGAATCTGGTCAACTTGAAGGTGAACGGATCGTGGGAAGAGGCAGGGATGAAGATTGGATGGTGGGTATGTTTTCCGTAAACACAAGTAGATAGGTGACCATTGTATGAGATATGGAGGTTCAGGAAATGAACTGTATGTGTGTTATCCTGTTCAAGGCAGAGCACAAGGGCTTAGGGATTGTGGGTTGATCTCTTGTAGGAAGTCTAGAATGAAGGATTTATTCTGGCAAATTATAAGGCAGGATTATATTTTCTAACAGTGTATGGATTATCATAGTCAACTTCACAAGAATATTTACTTTTAACTTTTTTAAAATTTAGATTTGAGTTTAAGCTTAAATCTAAAAAATTAGGTATTATGCAAAGTACTTGCATAACACCTAATTTCGTTTAAAATTTTTTAATTAAAGGTTTAAACTTTAATGGCCCAACAAAAAATTATAAATATTTCATAGTAAATTTAGAGGACATAATAAGTAAAATAGAAATTAACAAGAGGGAACATGGCAAATAATTTGATCATCAGCTTTTAATCCATACAGATATGCATTTCGGACTTTCACCCCTCTTCAGTCTGTTACATAGATAGCTTGTATCTTGTATATACAGTATCTGTCAGGCA